AAAATAAGGTTCAATTTTAGATCCTGATCCATTATTCAAAAGTATTTCTAGGACAGATTTGAGCTGAGATTTATCCAATCAACCTCTGAGAATTCGGAGAAAAAGAATGATTCAGCTTCAACCGGTTTTCATTCATTTGCCATGAAAACACTGTTTTCACTGGAATGTTCATAAATAAATAGGCAGCTTCAAGGATGGTGGGCAGACTGTTATGCCCTGCCTATTAAAATGGTGATAACTATTAACACAATTTATTTATGTTTATTTTAAAATCTTAATTAATGGGCTTACTAAACTAAGCCCAAGCAAATGTGGACTCTGTGCATACTGCACATGCCTCGATGCTTCGAATTTGTTTGTACAGCTGTGAAATTCTCAAATTAACTATCTGTCAGGAAAAGTAAAATACTGCCAGGAGAGCATGGAGATGAAATCCAAGCCAATGGGAGAAAATTACAAAATGGCATCCTGCGACATGAATCACTTTTACGGAATAACTCCTGCTATAATAATAAGTCTGTAGTTTCTAGACAGTAGATCATTAGCAGCAGCAGCACAGGTAGTTCCAACAACTTACTACCATACAAATCTTGAGCATTTATTAAGACTGATATCAGTCATCTCCTTGTCATTTTCTAAATGTACATCATTAGATTTATTTATGACTGTAAAATCTCCAAAAAGAGGAAAAAATGACTTAAAAAAAAAATATAGCATACAGTCACACCAGTCTAATACTGCCCTCCCCATTTAAAATTTCCCTTTTCACTTAAAACTCAAAGTTTTGCCTGTCTGAAGCAAAGGATCAAATACCTCATCAATGTTTTCAGAATCATCAGGTTTTGAAGCATGGTTTAGCTGCTTAACAATAAAGAACGATGTCTTTGCAGACAGTCCTAAAGAGGTTATCATATAGAAACAAAAAATGCAGATTTAATTGAAAATAATTTCTTTGAAGTTTGTGAAAGGATAGATTTGCCAATGTCCGCCTGCACAACCAGCGAGGTGTTCAGCCCCAAGAAGCAATAACACACAGAACATAAGAGTGACCCTACTGGATCAGCTAAAGGTTCACCTAACTCAGATGCAGACTGGCCATAAGTACCTAGGGAAGACCTAGACCACAGCAAATATGTTACACCTATCAATACTTTCTCAGGCTCCAGCCATTTTTCAGCTATGGGGACTTCTTCGTCTAGATGGGGTTCCTGTGTACTCCGCCTTCCAAGAGATCTCTCTTCCGTTACCTTATTCAGTGTTTTCTTGAACCCAGGTAAACTTTAACACTCATTGGCAAACTTCCAACCGGTTTGTAGACAAGCACCCCCTTTTGTTCGTTTGGCTCCCACTAGCTTCATGCAATGTCCCATAGTTTTTGTACAGAAAAGACTGAACATCTGCCATGCCATTCCTGATTTTGCAGATTCTGTTACATGTCCCCATGCTACCTTCTTCTGCACTGCAGAATCATAACCTACTCAGTCACTTGTAAAAAGCTACTCCGTTGATCTCCTTCCTTCATAAAACGTTACTCCTTCATTGCCTTCCTCTGAATCTTAAGAAAAAATGACTTCACTTTTAATCTCCTTTTCAGTTTCTTAAAGCTGTATTCCCAAATCATATTACCAGTAGTTTCCTAATTGTTTTGAAAATGTCCCCAGTACCCACAAGTGTCTCCACATGACACGAAAAGGAAGTGTTTATATCAATAACATCATCTGCCTTCCAGATCTGGAAAACATGATCTTTTGGGAGGCACAACGTTTTTCGTTTATGCTTTCCTGATTAATTCTGCACTCAAAAAGGCCAATGCTGATCTACGGGGTCAGTTCAGTCCTCCCGTACCAGAAAGCGAACGATACAGCTCTGTTAAGAAACAAACTGCAAAGCTGAGGGTGACTAGAAACGTATTGCACAAGCAGTTAAACCAGAAGCAATAGGATTTAACCTCCACCATTCTGTAGAGTACTGCAATATGATCTTAAGGAATTATGGCAAACAACTGATGAGTCACTGCACGCAATATTAGTTTTTAATGTCTTCTTACATGCATTGCTATAGCTGCTAAACTGGCCAGGCAGCCCCAAAGAGCTGCACAAGTGAATTCATGATCAGTAGTACGTATCAAGCAGAACAGGATGTCTCATCTTCCTCTAAGACAAAACTAAAACCAAAATATTTTCTGGACCTTTGCTATCTAGGAAGTAGTTCACATACAAAGAAAAACTTCACTTATGAAAACAGACCAAATCTTCGAGCTTCTGGAGGGACTTAGTAAGATTACACACACACCCCCTCCCCGTTATCTACAGCCTTACCCTGTCTCCCTCACTCAGCTGCAACCTGGTGCTGCCTGCAAGCTGATCCTTCTGGCAGCCATTCATATCAGTCTGCCTCTATCTAAAAAAAATAAAAGTTACATATACGGATAGAAAAGCATGTTATCTATTTTGCTAGAGGCTAAACTCTACAGAAGTCAGCAGCTTCTTCCAGCTGCCAGTGAAGTCACCAGAGCACCTGGGTAAAAGACCATAATGTTTCTGTTTTCCTGCGCGCAGAGAAATGGCCAAATGGCTTCAAAATTCCACATGTATTATTAACAGAGTGCATAATAATGATTCAAGGGAGGATTGTGGAATTCTTACCATGCTAAATTTCATACAGTATAATCTTCTTAATAGATTTCCTTGGCACCACATGTCAGATATTCCAATGTGTAGACTAGTCCTACTGCCTAGGACTGCTACACAGGGAATTACAATCTGAAAGGATGAATAGCTCCCTAATAGTCTACAATGACACAAATCTACTACTCTGCCATATCTTTGAATTCTTACTGTACTGAGTATGAAATAATATACACTGAGAAAATGGTGGTGGAGCAGAATTTTTTTCCCTTTAATTGCATTGCCTGTTATACCAGTTTGACAAATAAAAGACCAACAAATCTAAGTTATTACAACATATGCGACTACAAATGTCTAACTGGCTTCTTATGCAACTTAGGTTAAAAAAAAAAAAAAGGGGGGGGGGGGATCAGCTAACTGAAGTAGCGAAAGCCATACTCTCAGCTGAGAAAGTCAATACAAGAAAGGAGGTCTGCCTCTTTGCAGTGGCAAAACACAGAAGTACCAAACATTAGTACATCTCTGGGTTATCTTTCCAAATGGTGGCTCTCTCAAAATGAGCCGCCATCAGACAAAAGTCTGATGATACAAAACAAAAACAAAAAACAAACCTAAACTAAAAAACCACCCAACAAAACAACTACAAAACCCAAAAGCAGTAATTAGATACCTAACAAAAACTTATTGTTTGAATTTCTGAATATTCACCAGAAGTTCGTAGTAGAATTTATGACTATTACTTTTCCTGAGAATTTTATATTAAATAGACATGGCTTCCTGAAATGTCAGTTTGTAAAAAGAAAAAAAATAAAAATAAAAATGCTTTACAGTTTGTGATTTAATTGATTTTGTAGTATGGCAGCTGGGCAAGATATGAAAAGGGAATGTTTTACAACTACATAGCCAAGTTTACCTTTTTGGTGTTCACTGTAGCTTTTAGCAGTTTTTGTCAGTAATAGTACCTTTAGTTTGTCTGTTTGTGAGGGGGAAAAAACCAAAACAAATAACCCTTCTTTGCACCTAGCTAGTTCCTTGGCTCAATCGGAAAGACTGTCATAAGCGTTCTCTCAACTTGGGAGCTACCACGACACTAACGGGCAGCCACTTAGGTGAAGACAAGCTGGACCATATTATAAAGAGGAACTCAAAAGTCATCCAGTACTTCTACTAACCAAACACTGATTATGATTTGGAATATGAAATACGAGTTCCAGCTGTCTTTTCCTCCTTTGTGGAGGAAGGCTTCCTTCCCTCTCTACTTATCTTTCTTCCCAGCTATCTCTTCCTTTTTCTTTAGGGGGGAAAAAAAAACAAAAACCAAACATGCACACAAAAGAAAACCCCCCCAAAACCCCAGAGCAAGCAAACAACAGCCCCCTTCACCACCCCCCAACCCACAGCAGGTTAAAAATAATTAAATAAATAAAGCCTGCCTTAGTCCAGACAATTTCTTCTGCAACAACAATTATGAGCTCGGAACCAAGAAAAACAACTTACACAGCTGCAGCTGACACAAGGCTGTCAGTTCTCAGAACTGCCGATAAAATTTATGCTGTGCCCTAATTTCTACTACAGAGTAGTTATGAAAACATAAAGAACAGAAGATTATGTGATTTCTGCTCTTGGGCTCTTTTTCACCTGCTGTGTATTTGCCTGTTTCAGCTTTCAAGGAAGATGTATCTGAATTCAAGAAGAAAAATAAAAACTGTTCCACAGTAAATGCATTAATGTATGTGTCAACCATTTAATTTGACTTCTCCCAGAAAGGAACTTGCTGCACTCTTTAATTTCTCCCAGTAAGATTGTCCTATGAAAATCATTTAAATTAAAGGGAGGTTGTGGTCAAACAAGAACTTAATCTGACCTATGCAAAGCTCTTCAGTATCTTCTGAAGGTTCACATCTTCCACATCATCCCTGCAACTCTTTACTGAATCTCTTCCAGTACAACAACGGGACCTTCACATTCAAGGCACCAAAACTAACTATAGAATTTTATTATCGGCCTCCCTAGAGCTGTTTATTGAGGAAAAGGCACCTCCCACAGCTACTTAATATTCCCCTTGCAAATAAAAACAAGGATCACATTTTCTCTGCCACATCACACTGCTAGATCTTGTTCAAGGTCTTATCCTCCTCATCTTACAAGTCATTTTTTGAGTAACCGCTTCTCATAGTTACCTTAATAATTACCCAAGAAGTATTAATTCCCCGATTTTATATTGTACTTTTTCTACACAGAGCAATTCCCTCCCTGCCCGTTTGCAGAACCTCCACAAATGAAATCTCTTAACTTCCCCAAAAAGTTCAGTACCAAAACAGTCAGATACATCCGATACTGATAATACATACTAGAACATTTACCGACACTTACTTTGCCAGGCTTGTTTGCATCAAAGCTGTTTTCTTTAAATTTCTCCTGCAGGGTCTCAGCTAACCGACAAAGCAAGGCACCATTATCCAATTTCTCCATAAAGGTTTCTGCTGTTATTTCTCTACCTGAACAGCAAACAGAAAGTTAACATGGCAGAAAGCATGCAATAACGTAGACTGCATTTCTGTAAAGAGAGAAATCAATAGAAATCTTGACAAAAATTTGAAATATGCCTTAACTGAGAAACTTGCCTTACTTTGAATATTTAGTGAATAACCTCACTACTACTTTACTGGTAGACACACAGCAAATTATTCAGAAATAACATACTTGCTTTGGAGAGGCATGTGCTATTTCAAAAATAATTCCAGCATATCAGACTCCACATATCTCATTTTACTTACAAAACTCCAGTGCTTTTAAAATAGTGTTTTAAAAGTCAGAGCACAGCAGGCAAATGATTTACATCAGTGTGCACAGGTAGCTATAGCGTAAGATTTGCTAACAATACTGCAGCTTATTTTGTAACAGAAGTAGAAAACCATGTCAAGAAGGAATAGACTGTATTTTTTTAAAAAAGATTTTAAGACGTGATCCTGCAAGAAGTTGACACGATACTACAATGACTGCAATGCTCCTTTGAAAGAGCTTTTTCAGAAGTAAAGGTACATTAAAAAAAAAAAAAAAAGGGAAAAAGGGAAATTTCACGTCATGTATCTACTTGCCACACAGATTAAAATTTTCCCCCAAAGAACAATGACAAAAATACTTTATTTCATAATATATCCATTAATATCATGCTACATGATGCTGTACTTCAGCAGATCATCCTCCCTGGCTAAAGTAGACCAGATGACCTTCCGTTACACCTTAATTACATCCTCCTGGCAGAGAAGATCACTAGAGTCCCATGATGACTTGTGCACTCTGACCAGGCTGGACAGGCCAGAGGAGAAGGAAATAATTTACCACCCTAAACTAAACTTCCACCATCTTAACATCATTTCTGGGTAAAAATATTCCTATTTCTTATTGAAGGTTTTCCATTTTCACATTTCTACTGGAAAATTTGCCTTCTCTTTGGGTACTTTTTTGAGCAACAGCTATGTTCGTCAGCCCTCTTAATTTCTACCAACATCAGTACAGCATCAAGGCCTAATTCCTGCTCTTCCTATTAAGATCGGAATTACATCTGTCACTTGGAAACAGGAACAACACCATCAACTCATTTTTCACAGGCTGCTACACAGTAATCATCAATAACAGTTTTCTGCCACGCCAAAATATTAGAAAAATAAAAAACTTAAGAGTAGTTCTTCACCCCATCCAGATCCACTCCTGCTACTCAAAACCAGCTTGTTTGCAAGCAGGTGGAAGTCTGCCCGCTGCTGGTTGGGGTTTTTTGCCAGATTTTTGACCAACAAGCAGCTGCCTGACTAAACCGGGGTTCTTTTGTTGTTTTTCTAGTTAGTTTGAGGAAAATAATTTCCCATGAGATGTCTGGAAACTGAAAACATTAATCTGTTTAGAACAGGTTCTGAACTTTTTTTTTTTGTCAAAAAACCCTAGGAAAAGTAGATTTAAAAAAGCGAAAAGCTTTCCTATACCTTTTCATTCAGAAGAGAGAGGAAAACTAACATTCAAAATTAACGACAATGAAGGAGATAATCAAAAATGACTACTTTACTTCTGCAATATATTGCTTGTACATTGTAATCTGATAGTCAATGTCACTTGTAACACTAAAGATAGCAGTAGTATAAAGTAATATGATTACAAAAATGCTAAAGGAAGGTTGATTTCCATAAGCTTTTGCTGGAAAACTGTTAAGATACTTCAGCACCCTTTGGGCAAAAAGTTGTGAGTTTTTCCAGTTTCGTCAGTTAAAAATCAAAGACTAAGATATCTATCTTTGTAGCAAATCATCCTCAGATACAACAGTAGACATATTTTTGGTTGCAGCTAAACTTGGTTTTTCTAACACATTTCTACCTAAGAAATATCTGTTTAACGTGAAGTTTTTTTTCCCCTTTTTATTCCCTCTTAATTTTCTCTGCCATATAGCCCACTTTATAGCTCCTGTATACCTAAATGACTTCTCCAGGCAAAAGCACGGTAGCAGCACTGCAGACATTATGTGGTAGCTTGTGCATAACTGATGATATTTTAGCAGTGCCTCCAGCTCAGCTGAAGCCAGGACTGAAGCTATGATAGCCCACAGACACAAAAATCAAACATCTCAGCACCTCAAAAACCTTCGTCACAATTCTAGACTACATATTTTCCCATTTGCCCCATCAGCTTTTTTGGCAAAAAGTAAAAAGCCCTTAGAAAGCTAAATTTGAAAAAATACTATATTAGAGGAACTGCGGTATTTTAAATACAGCATTGCATTTTATAATACACTCATTTTCTTCTAAAAAAAAGAAAAGGTATTTAAAACATTTTTTAACCTACTCAAGATTTTTATTTTGTTTTGGAAAGCATAATATATTTTTATTTATTTTTATTTTCAGAGGGAAAAGAAAAATCACATTCTCCATATCTATTCCGTCCTATGATTTATAAATGCATTATTTCACTGGTCAAGCATTAAAAATCTTAAAACTATTCAGAGGCATTTTTAATTTACACAGCATGGAAAAATTCTTCTATCTTCTTCTGCTATTTAACAATACGTTTATATTCTTTTAAATGCTGAATTGCATTAGCAGTTTGGTCACTGCATATGGTACACTAAGCCAGAGTATTTTAGTTCTGTTCCCTTTTATGAAAGCTGAAAGAATGAGTTTTGCATTGAACATCTGTATCCAATGAAAAATATATTAGGTGTCAGCTTTCAATTCACTGTATTTTATGGCTCCAAAAGGTGGCATTTCTTTGCTAAAACAGACACTCTGACATATTTAACAGTTGAAATGTATTGATTCAAATAAGAGTAATGTTCATAGCCTGAGGAAAAAAATGGCTCTGTATATTTGTATGGAAAAAACATTAAACTCCATTAAAAATGTATAACTCCCCCTATAATTACAAGAAAGCAGTTGCAATGTTTTTATAGAATGGTAATAACATTAAGTATAATAAAAAAACAACACTAGAAGTATGAAAAAAACAACCCAGGAATAGGAAGGCTGTCTCAAACCTCCAAGCATTGCTTACCCTCTCTTTTACCACAATCGCCAGATGCCCCTTAAAAGGACAAACTGTTATACCTGAACACCTACCACTTGGAAACTGGGGGCAGCTATCTATAAGGCCACCCAGTCCTGTGGGCAGCCAAACTGGGAGGTCTATGAAAGAACAACTAAAAAGAGCCCATGCCCAGGGTGTGTGCCCAAGAGGCACAAGACAAAGCATTCCCTACGGGCCATCTCAGACAACCAGAGCCTTCAGAAGGTGGCGGACAGACTCAAAGAAAGACTAAACCAAAGTACCAAAATCTAGCTGGTTCCTCTATTATTGCACTGGGTTCTTCCACGCTTAGTTTAATAACTAGAGTGCAAGACACCAACTCCAGCCTTGCAACTAGCTGATTGACTATTTTAATTGTACGCTTCAGTGGTAACACAAAACTACTAATTTATAATCAGAACCATTTCACTCAGGCGAATCTCTGAAGAATGAGCTTCTACCACACTGAGGCACCAGCGCAACAACGCCTCCTGGCCCTCTAAAATTGTGTGGCGTTTAGAACCAAGAGAACAAAATGCAATAAAAATAAAGAAAACAAAGGCCAATGATTTTATGCACATGAGAAACTAGTTCTTTTCAAACACAGCTACTCTGTTTCCTACAATAGCTGACAGCAAGAGAAATTGTTTTGATATCATTGAGACATTATCGCTTACTTGAAATGGGACATATAAACAATCTCGAAAGGCATGTTAATATCAAAGAAAATTATAAAGCCTCTCAACTGAATAAACTGTATCAGTGCCAGCAGAATCGGTAGAAATATCACGAATGTCTTGATATTCAGGTATTTAAAACCTGCATTTCCCACTGGCTTGAGCTGATCATGCTGATGTTGAAAATAAAGGGTACTGCTATGGAATCCTCTTAGACAGCAAGATGAGGAAGAACACCAAGCTGAAGCAGGTTTTGCTTTAATTCAGAGTCTAAGAAAGACAGTTTTCTTGCAGAAGACTTCCCATCCTTCATCCCCCAAACTTTGGTCCTCCTTCAACACACCTTTAAATTCCACATCTGGTCTTCAACTCAGTGCCCCTCCTGACATTCTTACCTCTCTGTTCCTTTTCGCCAAGCCTACTTCACTTTTGCTCCCAAGGAACTTTTACACGCCTCATGCAACATTCAACATTTACGTGTCCAATTCCTCAGCATCTTGCATTCTCCAGCTCCTTACCTATGAGCTTCTGAAGCCCAGAAAGCTCTGTAAGGAAGAGGCCTCAACACTGAAACCTTGCATAGACATGTGCCCAGGGCACGTCTTGCAGGTCTATTCCATGGTCCCATGTGCTACATAATGCAGGACGGAATAAGCAACAATATTGTAACCCTCTGCAGCTGTTAAATGGGCTCTGGGAATGAAAAAACAGACACTCCACACAATAGCCAAAGAGGAAACCGAGAAAACATGCCTCTGTACTTGTCCTAAACTACAGACTGGTGATGAGGCCCATTCCTCCCAGTGTCAACCCTTTCCCTGCTGCAGACACACAAGAGAAAAGGAGAAAGTACTGAAGAGCACAGCAGACAAGCAAACCCTATTTGCTTTCAAATTGCCATTTTGCCTCAGCTAGAAGACTACAATGGCCCAACTGTGCTTATTCCCATGTGAAACTCGCTCAAGGTGGAACAGAAGTTTTCAGTATCCACAAGAGCATTCTACTAGAATAGGAGTATACATAATCTACCAAATTTGGAGCATGTCTGCAGTGAAAGCATTGCTGACTGTTCCGTTGGCTCTATACACAGTAAAAGCAAGGCTGAGAGATGATCGTCATTTGCAAGACAGTTGGGTCAACACATCTCCTTAACTTTGCCACAGCAAGGGTCTCTCAACTGAGCTGAGCAGAGGGAAGTGAGGGTAAGAGATACAACATCCAGAGCTCAAATCTTCCTCTCCAGCATGCAAACCTCCACCTCTGCAACACTAACACGTCCCACTTTGAGGATGCTATAATGTACAATATCGTATCAGTCAATCCCATCTGACACATTGATTTCATCTGCAATGCCCTTTTTCCATCCCCCAGAACACATGCAGCTAAAATCCATTCAGCAATGGAGCTGTAATGACAAATTGCCCTCTCAGAAGCTCCCAGTTTCTCTGACATGGTTCCAAAAATAATCAGCAAAGTGCCTATAAAAGTACTACTGCTTACTAAAAAAAACCCCACAACAACATCCATGCTAAATGAGAATAAAAAGTCCAAAGTCTCGGGGTTAAAAATTCTTACAGCATTATTTTCCAGCTGCACCACATATCTCAGTCTTCCAATTCATCACTCGGGTAATGTCAAATTCTAGCTATGTCTAATTTCCATCCGATATCAAACCCCTTCATTCATATTATAAAATGCAATATCCTTCCAATGTTTTCCAGTTTGTAATTTTGAAGCCACACCAGGCTTTGCTGCTGCAAAACTGTCACCATTTTAACTTCCAGTAACACTGTGTTACTGGAGACGTACTTGCGTCTCCACAAAAATTTCCAATGACACCATCACTTGATCAAACTACCTCAGAAATGTTCAGCCCTATTCTTGCCTAAAACACTTCCTATTATTTCTTTTTTAAAATACTACATTTATTTGAAAAGATTGTGTGTCCTTGTTGAGTCACAGTACAAACGAATGAACAAAATATAGATGAAACAAAGCATGAACCAACATGACAAAAATTAATTGAAATGCATATTAATTTTCTTTATAAATTGAGAAGTCCTATTGCATTAAAACCGGCGTAAAGACAGTTAAAATGAGGCCAAACAAGTCATAGCACAGAGCAAACTAGGGTGTAGATACACAGAATATTATCTGTTCTGTGTTATCTGGACGTCCACACACAAGAAAATCTACTTCATTAATGGTCAAAACACATTATTTCTCCCATGGAGGGAAAAAAAAACAACAACAAAACAAAAAAAAAAGTCTTGCGGATCCTTTTATCCTCGGATGCTGATAAGTGAGAGAGTACAAACAGGTTTTTACAACAAGGTAACAGCATGCTATAAATTAAAACCTATTTTATCTTACAGCAACATTCTCACGTGTCCCTCCTCTCATTAAAGTTAACCTAAATTATACAGTAATTAAACCAAATTTGAAATCTGAGTGAATATATTTATATGAATATTAATTACTTTAATTCAGTTACACTTAATTTATTTTCAATATGAATTTTAACTTAATTGAATTATTAATTTGAATAACAATGTCTACACAGGAATTCAAAGCAGTTTAACAAATCACTATAATTTCAGTTCTTCAGGACAAACTCTGAGAAAAGAGGAGCTTGGTGTGAGAAGGTGTGGGGGAACGCATTAAGCAAATGAACTGTGTATGCTGCTTAATTAAAAGAAGGTTGTGCCTATTTAGTTCTGCAGTGCAGAAATTGGTGTCCATATGAAAAATCAGATTTTTAATTATAGTTGGCATTTCAGAACCTCCTGCTGGTTGCTACTTTCTTGCTAAAAAAGTGACCTCATTCCTAAACTTGTCACTGTGAAAACTCTGGTATGAACTGCAAACAAGCTTCTATTTGTTTTAGAGCAGCACACTAAAACTTCATTGTTCAAAACATTTAAACAATATATTAAATCCTTAATGGAATGTGCTGCTTCTAATTCAAAAACCAGTCTTTTGGATTTTTGTCTTGTGGTAATTGGAATGAAGAGTCAGGATTTCTGGATTTTGCTCTGGCATTGCCTAGACAATTTTATATTCAAAATTTATCAATTTAAATGGCAGTACCACACAAAGATGTGATTTAAAGCAAGTGCCACTTCTGCAGTTGTGGATTCCTAACTATTCCAGCTCTAAAATGGGTATCGCCTACCTGCAAATTACTGTGTTCCACCATTCTACAGACTCTGTACTTATTGACTACACCTCTCATAACATAACGATACTTCCCTTCCTCTGAGAGAAAGAGGAAATACAGCAATGTAGGACGGGCAGATGAAAGGCACTAGATATACTCTATTATCGTATGATATCACGGAGACAGTTCAGCTGCAGCATTTGCCAAGACAAGACATTGCTTATGTCTCACCATAGAATAGTTTGGATTGGAACGGATATTTAAAGGTCATCTAGTCCTAACCCCCCGGCAATGAGCAGGGACAGCTTCAACTAGATCAGGTTGCTCAAACCCCCGTCCAACCTGACCCTGAACACTTCCACAGATCGGGCATTTACCACCTCTGTGGGCAACCTGGGCCACTGTTTCACCACCCTCAGCGTAAAAAATTTCTTCCTTATATCCAATCTAAATCTACCCTCTTTCAGTTTAAAAGGGTTACCCCTCATCCTATCACAACAGGCCCTGCTAAAAAGTTTGTCTCCATCTTTATTAAAAGCCCCCTTTAGGCACTGTAAGGCCACAATAAGGTCTCCCCGGAGCCATCTCTTCTCCAGGCTGAACAACTCCAACCCTCTCAGCCTGTCTTTATAGGAGAGGTGTTCCAGCCCTCTGATCATCTTTGTGGCCCCACAGCTGGACCCGCTCCAACAGGTCCTTGTCTTTCCTGTGCTGGAAAAGACTGTTGACCAGAACAGACTTACAGAAAAAAAACAACCCAAAACCCCCAAAACTACCACAAATTTAAAAATGGTCATCCAAGTTTTCCTCTAAAATAACATCAGCAGAAGTTTCATGTAAACATCACCTCCTCTAAAGTATTTTCTCCTCTTTGTTTAACTACTGGCATGTTTCCCTTAGGATGAGGTATTGTGTAAGTCAAGTATTTCTTTGGTAGAATCCTTTTGACTTACAGAGATCACACAAAAGCCATTTCCCCCGAATGCTCTCACCAAACAACATACTATTTCCTGGCTCATAGTTTGTAAATGCTGCTGCCTCTTGAATGAGTTGTATATCCCAAAGAACTGTCTCTTTTCTTCCTGCCAGGGACATACTCCAATTCACTCCTATTCAGACCTACCTGTTTTTTATTGGGTTTTGGTTTGCATCCCCTTTCACCACAACGTATTTCAGCTTTGCACACCAAGACATACAGCTTCAACCAGTAAATCCCCACGTCCCAGCTGCAGCCACTAGGTCGGGCCCCTCTATGCACAAACCTCCACAAGTCTTAGCACGCGTTGCCTTGAGCAGCAATTATCCGTCACTAGACTGCTTGGTCAGCAAAGAACTATTTAATGGCTCCTTCCATTCAAGACAGTCAGTACACCCATAGTCTTTAGGAGAAAACCAATAAAAATGGAAGAGGTGCTTGATGGTAGTAATTAGCACCATTCAGCTTAATGGTATTAATATAGGCCACACACGCAAAAGAACATTTAAAAGGAAATTTGAGGAGAAACAAACATGAAATGAATAAGGAAGTTCAATGATGCCACTCCCAGAAACACTGTGGAGGCAAACTACTTACTGCTTTGCTAACAGTTCTATACGGAGGTCGCTACCTAATCATAACTACCTTCATTTTTGAAATGCAAAGAAGTCTGAAGAACTGAGTTCCCCGCTAAGAGAGTACAGAGTTCTCTTACTGTCCAGTATCTGTACTCTCTCTTATTGTATCTTACCCAGTAGGTTTGTGAGCCACAGGGCCAAATCCTCTTTCATCGGCAACAAGTTGGCCTCATGTCTACTCGCAAGCCACTGGCTGTACTGATGCATGTCAGAGAGGCCAGGCCCACGTGCCTTCGGGCTCAGAGCCGTGCACATCGCTTATCCGTTTGTGGTACCTGTTTTAGTATATTAAAAAAAAAAAAAAAAAAAGGAAAGAAAAAAGAAGTACTTCATATATACCAAATCAAGTTTCACAGATTCTCTTTTTAGAATTACAGAAGATAACAGTAGTAACTATGATTCTAAGAAATCAGGTGTCAGACAAACAGATGTGGATCTAACACATGAATACAACATCGATGATTGAAGTTTTGTTTTGTTAATGGATCACATTGCAAGTGATTAAATCATGGAGATAAACGTCAACTTCATTTGTACTCACCAAGCTACACATGTTGCCAACACATAACCAAATATTCTGCAAGGAATGATTAAAATCAAATCAAAATAAATAAACATTTTACACAAAGCTGACAACTCACTATGGTGCCTGATCCAAAATCCATTCAAAATAAATGGAAAGCTTCAGAGATTTTTGGATCAGGCCCAAGAAAATCACGGGAACAACTGAGTTACGCTACTACAGCAAACTTACTAACAATTAACAAATGCAGTTACCAAATGGAATTGGTCTATTCTACAGCTTTAGAATCATTAAAGAAAAAGCGCCCCACAAAATAGATTTACTGAGCAGCATTGTTTCTTCAGAAAGCAGCGCAACAGCTAGTGCTGGTCCCCCACACTTCCACCTTTTATACAAATACTACTCAGCTTCAGTGACGACTTACTGAAACTTTAGTTTCCGGTAAGTCAATACATCATGTGTTAAATATTAGTTAAGCATTGTGAGTCTTGCAGTGGTCAGAGACTTTAGGTGCACTGGACCTATATCTCTGCTCCTGAAGGACTAATTCCCCCATCTGTGGCATATTCGTGCTAAGGAAAGGAGGTTATTTTTCTCTCTGAAAAGAAAGTCAGATCTGCACCCTAATGCTTGTAGCAATGAGCTGAGGTATTTTCTTGCTGGGTAGGCTGTAGCCTGCTGAAAGCCCAGTCACCCCAACAAGCAATCTCAAGGTCTTACACAGGTGGCACCAGACAGACTTTAACTGGGGGCGGGAGGTCTATACGGAATAGTTCTTCACCTGTTGACAACTGCCTGATCCACGCCAACTGCGGCTACACGTGTCAGCTGGCTTCAGCTTACGATACACTGCAAACACTGTTTCTTTCTGTCCTTTGCATAGCTTTCAAGTCAGGTAAGAGGTAATAGTGACTTAAAAAAAGAACAATTTGTTATACTATTCCATTGTGGCCTGGAATAAGAACAGCAAAAACAATTCCTTTGCCAAAAAAAAAAAAAAGGGCAATGTTTACTGCATGTAAAACCCAATTGCCTTTCCATAATCATGCTGTAACCAACATTTCAAAATATATGAAATGCTATTTGGAGTATTGTAATGCTTACATTAAAATACTCCAGCCTTTTTTAACCGTACCCTGGGTAACGAAACTACTTGTTTGCAGAAAGATATGGTTAAGCTCTTGTTGAGAGTACCTCACCCCAAATTCTGCAGTTCAACTCACCCTTGAGATAGACACAGCTTTCACTATGAATACACTTCTTACTGAAATTAGACAATTTTTTCAGTTGGGAAGAGGGGAAGATAGATGTCAACAAGACTTTATTACCTTGTATAAACACACATTTCTGAATTATCAGTAGATCTGACATTTTTCTAACAAAAAACCCACCCTTATTTATGAAAGTTCCTTTGGAAGCAGAGGAGTTTAAGAGAGACTGAAGTACATAATTTAAGGTCAGTTTTGTTCTGAAAACTGACTTTGTAGAAATAACAGCTTGGATTTATGGTTTCCTGGTTGATGAAATCCAAATCATACCTGTTCATTTGGGGCAGGGTGTGAGGGCGTGAAGCGAGAAGGCTGTTAGCTCTGCAAAAATCGATCTGGAAAGTCACTCTCTAAATAGATTCCTTTGGACTAGATGATAGTAACAGCTAAGGAGGCTCAATATTTAAAGTCGCTCTAAGTCTCACAGAACCATGCAATTTGGTGCTTCAAAACACTGTTTCATTTTGGACAGATGGGAACAGAGGCAAGACAGATAATTGACATCACCTTGTCTTCAAAGATTATGTGGGAAAAATCAGGTATAAACATCTCTGTCACATATTTTATTTCCAGAGAAAAATGCCTTAAAATAATTTTTGACTGATTTATGGAGTCTATAAACTCTATTGATACAGCAAAAACCAGAAGTGAAAATAGTTTATTTTCTTGAATTACCTCTGAAATTATATTGGTAAAAAGTAATAAAAAAAAATTCTCATTTCTGAATGTTTGTTTTATATACAATAGGCAAATAAAGCAAAGTAGAAATACATCATTTTTTGGCATCAATTTTTCAGTTTATTAACACCTATGTATCTCAATGTTTAGGAAACAAAATCCTACAGTTTGTTTCTTTAGACATACAGATTGGAAAAATCTACCTGAACAAAGAAGCACTATTGTATTAAAGAAACCAATTTGACACTACACCTCTTTACTGGAAATAGTTTCACAGTTCATACATGCTTTGAGGAGGGGATTAGACTAGATGACCCCTGGAGGTCCCTTTCAACCTACACTATTCTGTAATTTTGTATTTCAAGGATGCACACAGCAGTATTCATCCCGGGACCCTAAGCGGGGTCTGCCCTGCTAGGAGTATAACACATGGCACACACACTGAGCTGGGTTGCATTAACCGGGAAACTACAGAGACAACATCCTTTTCTTTCACCTCAGGAAAGGTCCACCTACCTTATCACTTCCAAGACCACGTATATGAAGTGCCCCATGAAACTTGAAGCTAATTAATAACTAACAACATTATAATATGCCTGACAGCCAGCCAAATACAATACAGGCTGCAGCCACCAATGGAGCTGAAGTAATTCTGAGGTCTGAAAGTTTTATTTCTTTAAGACTAGAGGAAAAAAAAAAAGAAAAAAAAAAAAAGATGGAAGGCTTCTGGAGCAGCTACATGGAGGCAGTTTGGGTTTCCCCATCAGTCTGTGAAACTAGTACTGTGGTCTTTTTATGCCTCGCGCTAATCTCTGTGGAGACACAGCGCAGAGCATTCAGGGATTTGAGATGTTACTTCAATTTGGCTCTAGCATACACAGCTGTCTTTAAATATATTTCATACTGATCCACCTCTTGTTTCATAAAACTCAGCAACCAGGCTGCGTAAAGGTCTCAAGCAACTTTTGAGACTCACTGAAGGAGGAAAAGTGGGAGAATAAAGCGCTCTGATTTCAGAGGATCCATAGGTGCTTCAGTTTGGTAGTAACTGTGATGGTAAGAAGAGCGAAGATCCAGAGATGAGAAAGGTATTCTGTGTTTAAGGTAATTTTGATAGCATACAGGTTCTCAGAGCAGGAAACTAGGAAAGATGAGGAAAGTCAGACAGACAGGTGACAAAAATCTCTCGAAGCCGAAATGGATTCAGGCATTTCTATACTGGAACTAGGTCTGTTTGAAATAGTAGCCCTGAATTAACAATAATGTATGGGTTAATATGTGAAGCAGGTGTGCAAAGTGAGGACTGTGGCCTGAGAAAGTTAATACTGATGAAGAATTTCCACCGAGAAGACCCCTGAAGAATCACAGATAAATCACATACAATCCAACCTTACCTCTGTGTAAGTTTTCTTTAATTTCATTTCGGAAAAGGAAGAATTTTCCCCTTCTCCACTATATCTCTGAAAACGTGTCCTACACTTGAGTAAATACTTCCTTGTTGGAATCAAAGCCACAAAATTTCTAATAAATAAATAAATAAAATCAGCCTTCAAGAAGCAGAGCGCAATTTGTTACCTATAGTTCCTGTCACAAATTCTACAAGTGATATTGTGGGTCAGTTATCAAACTGCAGGCATCAAAATCTATCAAACTGTGAATTATTCTTTATGCAGTGACCACAACTGAACTTCCAAGCCACAACTAAGCCTCCACGATACTTCAGTGCTAAAGTACCTAAGCTTCAGTAAAACATATACCTACTTCACCAATTGTAATAGCCCATACATTAACTATTAAAACTTTATCAGACGCTAGCTGGGATCTGTGAAGAAGCTGAACTAAGATAGTTAGGTGAAGGCAACAGCAGTTGGGTCCTGAGCTCCTTCAAGACCCCTTTGAAGATTCTACTTGTCCTCAAGGCCAGGCTTTTGATTCTTCGCTCAGATACCATTGACTCACCTCTGTAAAATGTCTTAACATACTTATTTTCTGGTGAGCTGAAGAAAAGTTTATTGACAGTTTAGCAGTGAGGAATTTGGTCCGAGAAATGGACTAACTCGCCACAGAGATAGACAGTAGCATTGAAGGATGCATCACCGCAGCTGAGGCAAGCCTCTTTGGCTCCAGCAACTATTTCATCCTTTCCTTTTGGCAGACCTAAGGTATGAACAAAGCAGCCAAAAAATATTGGTTTTCCTAATCTCACTACTTCCTAACAGCAACATCAAATCATCATATATACAGCTCTTTAAAACTAGCCAACACAAACATGTCAAATATTTTATAGAATGTTACACTTCTCTATAAACTCTCGAGGCTGATGCGAGATATGCACAAGCATTTTCAAAACTTACCTCTAAATGCTTTGTTCCTCAAAAAGCAACTTCTTCCCCCTACTATTCTGAAGGCAGACAAGGAAAGGTCTTTAACTACTTTTCATTCTGTTTTGTTACAGGTCATATTTATGCAGCACAGCCTTTTTTTCCACCTCTCTCAATAAGAGGATGACATCTCAAATTCTTAGACTTATTGTCTAGCTGAAGAATTCAGTGTGGGATAGTTTACAGTACATTCAGTGACATGTAACAGATTCAACACACTGAAAGGTTACATTTCTCTCTGCTTCATTCTACCAAACAGTAAAGTTTTTATTTTGCTTTACAGTAGTACATTTAGTTTTCTGTGTATTGTAGCTCACTGCCTGTATTTTGCCAGCAGTGTAATTTACACTGTTTGCTGATTGTTGTCAGTGATCATCAGGTGAAAGCAATAAGAATCAAACAAGT